ATGGTCATTTGCAGTGAGCCGCTTTGGACAAGCGGGATTCAAGCGTGGCCAAGCCCAGCTCTGGTGTCCTTGTTCCCCCACAGGGAGCTTTGCTAACACAAATGAGCTCGCTAACCAGCTTGCTAATGGTTACAGTAACTAAGGCCTAGTGGAGCCGGCTCTATTGACCCTGGTCATGGCACGTTCTCCACGGTGCCCTGCAGACAATCGCTGCCGTTGCTGTGGAGCTCTCAGGAGCCCGGCAGTTTCTTAGGCCTCTGCTGGTGTTTCCCTGGCCGGGGGCCTCGAGTCCCCCCTTCCTGCGCGGGAGGGCAGCTCCTGTCTCCTACGGGATACGCGGTATTCCTGGATCTGGGAATTTTTCTTTTCCTTCCTCCTGTCATGGACCTTCAAATGTCAGGCTCACTGTTTTTTCAGTACTTGACAAAGTAATAAGTTTTTGAAGTCACTTTGCAAATTGCTGTTAAAGCTCTTTCCTTTTATTTGGCAGATTTTTGCATTTAACCTACCAAAGATTTTGAACATTTTTTTTTCCTTATTTGTACGTGGCTTCAGGCTTTTGAAAGATGAATATTTTCTTCTCTCATCTTCCTTTATCTTGCTGTTTAATCACACTGGTTTGGGATCCTTTGCAATGAAAATTTATCAGGAGCTGTAAGATACTGCTCCAGCATATCCAGCAGTTAAGATGCTGTCTGTGATGGAATCTATCTGGATGACGTTCAAGAAGACGGTCAAGAGCTTGGGGACTGGAAATCTCACGGGTGCTTTTGCCTTGGTGGCAAACACATCCCCGTTCCTGTTGGCCGGCTGCCATTCCTGCTTGTAGGAAGAAACCTATTTTATTTTATAGAATATTCACGAAAAAATCCACAAGCAGTTCACTTCAGGGGCACTAGTGAGGTAGAAATAATTTAGAATAAAGCATTTTCATGATCACCAGCTGTGAGGTTTAAATTAAGAACAGTTAATAAGTTATCTCATGAAAATACAGCTTTTTATTTGAACTTCTCTAATCTCCAAAGTTTAAATTTGCCCAGATATACTTAATAATAATATAACCTAATCTGCCTCATTGAAGAATCAATTTATTTTAAATGCCCATTGGGCATTCTGATGTAGAAACACATTTCAGCCTGGATGGAGTGTTAAATTCACCCAGAACTAAAGACCATTGCTGCTGCGATAGCATTTTGGGGTTCCGCAGCCATTCTGCTATCGGAGGTCATAATATGCCATTTCTTCCATGGTCGTTAATGACAGAGAGTGATAAGCATAGCAGGAGCCTCACTGCTACAAATATTTGAGCTAATTAAAATATTAAATCACTGCTGCTTTCAAGGGAGATCCTGGTCTGTTCCGCAGTGATAGAGCTGCGGAGCTTGCAAATAGCTTCTCATCTGTTATTAGCCCACACTGTTTTTCCCAGGCTCCAAAAAGGGTAGACACTGAAAATGCCATCAGAAAACCCCAACTACATAAAAACCTCCCTCCTGCCTCCTCGGGAGTGAGGCAAATTCCATTACGATTCCGTAGTGATACGGGAAATCAGCATGGAGGGAGCTGAGCGGAATCGTGCTGCTGTAGGGGAGAACACGCACTTAAGCACCCCGTTTTACACACCCCGTTTTACAAGTGAAGGCCAAGACATACAAAGAAGCTGCCAGAAAAAAAAAAAAAAAAAACAACAACAGATTTTTCCATGCACTCTTCAAGAGCCATCATCAACTATTTAACAAGAGCATGACTATTTCATTAGGCAGTACAGTGATTAAGCAAACAAACAAAAAAGCTGTTAGAAATGAAACTACTCTAAAATGACTATTGATACAGTATAAGGCTCAGTAAGTAAGGGACATTATAAACTCATCAAAAAACTTAAAAACTCTTTACTCGTTAACATATGTAAATGATTGCATTTTTTCTAGGCTGCTGCATGATTGCTTTTCATGAATGCAACAACAACAAAACTATGCATACAAACAGAACTAATCTTAAATTCCCTACAATTAGTAATGTAAACCTTTACATACCACCTGGAGTCTTGTTTCTGGAAAACAAAAATAATTCTAAAAAAAAAAAACCCCACCTTGTAAGCAACATATGCGGCTCTCAAAGTTACAGTGCCCTTCTTGGAACACTTTGGATCTTAAAAATGCTCCATCTCCCCTCCCCGGCAGCTCTGAACAGAGACCGCTGGGTGCCGCATGTTCTCCCTGCCTGTTCCCAGGTGCTTCGTTTGTGTAATTTTAGCACAACCAAGTTTTAGCTGCTAATCTCCTGCGTAGGTGCCCACTGGACCATGGACATGGAGGACCATGGACCACGGCCGTGCCTTGGCCTCGGCCCTGCTCACGCTCCTGCTTTGGCCCTCATGGGGCTGCTTTCTTGTGCAGGAAGACCCACAAATCTGCAAGATCTGCTGTTCTTCCCCACTTCAGCCCATTCGGTTTGAAACTGCGTATAAAGGGAATTAACCAACAAACATACTGTACAGAGCATTTTAATCAGTATAGCACCAGGGCATAACAATGTGTAAAATACATAAATAAACAAGACCAATTTAAAAAAAGAAAATGAACATAACAAAATATATATGCTACGGCAGAGAAGATCCAGGTTGTGGTGCTGTCCCAGATCTCACTGCTTTTGATCTTAATGAAACAGCCTCGGGTGAAAAGCAGGAA